CAAGGCACAACGCGCCACCAGAGTCGTCATCACCGAACATCATCCCGACCGGCATGTCAACTGAAATGCATGAGTTTGGGGAGCAAGATCCAGAAAGGGATACATATCCCAAAAAAAAAGATCTTTGAACCCACACCTGGGCCATCCACGGTGCCAGATACTTAAGCGTAGAGTTGCTCAACCACCGTCACCACAACCTACATCGAGACCACCACCTGCTGAAAGACAAACATTAAATAAATATCCACCCATTATAGTCGAACTCTAACTAAATTAGGCGAAGCACTTTAAGACCATTCAACAACTGTTGACACAATTTAAATTTAAAGAAATAAATATATTAACTTCGGCCTCTCTGTATATTTATGAAAATTTTATGTATGTTCACAAAAACAAAGGTAGTTTTAGTAAAAAAAAGGGATATACATTCTGTAAACACTAGGAACAAACACAAGCTAGTGATACCAGTTTCTCGACTCCAGAGAATCAGTAATTCATTCTTGGGGCAATGTATACGCTATTACAACAAGGTCCCGGAAAGTGTACAGGCTCTCTCTATTACCAAATTTAAATGTTTTGTTATTATAGTATAAATGAATACATGGTTGATAATAACCTCCGGGAATGAGGTGGTCGCTTCCAAGCTTTTTCTAAAATAAATTTTGTACTTTATATAGTTTTTACAACCATTAATAGCAGTAGCAGTGCGGAATGTACCTACGGTATTCCACAGGGTAGTACACTTGGTCCAAGCCTGTTCCTGGCTTACATCAACCCGTTGTGTGAATTAAATGCTTGTGGTGGTGAGGTGCAAATGTATGCTGATGATACAATATTACTTTATCAAGGTTCCAACTGGAAAATAGTGAAGGAACGAGCGGAATGTGGATTATCAGCAGTGACGACTTGGCTTGAGAACAATCTGCTTACGATAAATGTGTCTAAAACAAAATACATCTGTTTTTCAAAACAAAGAATTTCTGTTCAACAAAACGATTATAGCATAAAAATTCACACATACCCGTGTAATAGAAACGCTAAGGAGATACGCGACTGTAAATGTGCTGTATTAGAAAGAACGAACACTTTAAAATATTTAGGCGTTCATGTTGATGACACACTAAGCTGGAAGTTTCATATTCAAAATGTAGCCAAGAGAGTTAGGAAACTTATTTTTCTTTTTAAAAAATTACGCGTGATTGCTAACAAAGACCTAATGTTACTAATTTATAATTCGCTTTGTCATGGCTTAATTTCTTACTGTGTTTGTACTTGGGGAGGGACACATAAAAGACATATGATTGAATTGGAACGCGCACAGAGAAGTTTGTTAAAAATTATCATGTGTTTGCCCTACAAGTATCCTACCACATCAGTATATAAAAAGTTTAAAGTATTAAGTATACGTAAGACCTATGTTTTTCACAGCATAATGAGATATCATTGTGTTACTGCGCCAACTTTTCCAACAACAGAAAAGAGGGTTGATAACTATCCCATTCCCAACTTTAGAACGCCGTATGCTAGGAAATTTTATGATTTTCAGGCCCCACACTTATATAATAAGTTAAACAAAATAATAAAACTAAGGAAACTTAACAACAAACAAATAAAAGATTTACTTTTGTAGTGGCTGAATGAACACGATTATGACAGCTGCGAAAATCTATTGAACGTAAATACTTAAGAATTGATTAAACATATATATATATATATATATATATATATATATATATTTATTAGCTCTTACAGACACTTTCACGCGTTAACGACACTACTTCACAAATTATAACATACACAAAACACATACATGCATCCACACATTTGTCATATTACTTAGTCAATACCACATATTATTATCCTTTTTTTGTTTTTTTTTTTTTATATTTGGTTTTTTTTTAATGTTTATCTTTAATTGAATTTAATAATTTATGTAAACTGTTCTTGTCAATTTTAAATAAAATAAAGTAGAATATAATAAATATAATTAGGTATAATTAAATTAAATTGAAATGTATAATTAATGTTAATAATGTTTGTGCATAATGTAATGGAAGGGACTAGCTCCTGACATACAGTATTCCTAGTTCAGGAGTTAGGGCTCAATCGGAACAAGTGTAACATTTATTTGAGTTCTAATAAAATTTATTATTTATTATTATTATTAATGTAAAATTTGCTTTAAAAAAAGTCCCGCTGGGTTTCTTCCTGGTTCTTCTCAGGATAGAGGTTTTTTTTCGAACCAGTGAAAATTAAAACATGACTTTCAATAAGAATTACACATGTGATCTATATTGAATAAAAAAATTATTCTATTCTATTCACGCACCGCACGCTCGCTCACTTGGAAAGGGGGTTTGATTCCGGCCACAAACGGATGAAGAATGCCGTACCATACAAAAAAAATCTTGTACAGAGAAGGTAGGAAGACACCACCTTTGCGTGGTACTGTTACGCGCTGCATGAGGAGTAACCTATAAAGGTGAGGTTAAGAGGGCTCCCTGCTCATACAGACTCCCAAGATATTCAGGAGTATAGGCCTGGATGTTTATTCCATGTAAAAATTAACAATCTCACGCCGGAAGAGCTGCCGGGGGCCCCTATCGAGGGCTGGCAGGGCAAAATTGGCCCTGCACAATGTCACAAATGCCAGGGAATTGGGCACACTTCAGTGAATTGCTACCGCTCCTTCAAGTGTGTCCGCTGATCACCCTGCATCAGAATGCTCACAACCGCGTGATGCACAACCCAAGTGTGCTAACTGCACTAAGGTTCGTGTGGCAAATGACAGACGGTACCTAATGCTACAGAGGATAGCAAAGAAGAAGGACATCTACTTGCAACTACCTATGCCCTCGCAACCCTAGCCCCACCGGCGACCGACACCACGGAGCGTACAGAGCGCCCCACCCAAAAGAAAGGAGAGGAGGAAGAAGAAGAAGGCGGCAACTCAATTATAGCAAGTGAGAGGGACATCGACCCCGCGGGCATATCGTCGTAACATACCCCGATAACCACTCCAAAGAAGGAAAGTAACAATCACCACATCCCAACCACAGACCCAGGTACCAACTACCATCGAGGAAGCCCTCACGGAACTGGTAGGAGCGTACAGAGCGCCCCACCCAAAAGAAAGGAGAGGAGGAAGAAGAAGAAGGCGGCAACTCAATTATAGCAAGTGAGAGGGACATCGACCCCGCGGGCATATCGTCGTAACATACCCCGATAACCACTCCAAAGAAGGAAAGTAACAATCACCACATCCCAACCACAGACCCAGGTACCAACTACCATCGAGGAAGCCCTCACGGAACTGGTAGGAGTGGTGAGTACTGGAACCCCGGAGACATTACTGGAAAGGCTTCCGAACTTCGAATGCTGGCCAGATTATGCCGCTAAGAGAAACAAAGCTACGCCCTTCCGTACAACTAAAGCTCCCTAACTTCTTCACGTATCGACACGATGAGGTGCCCCCCGAAGGTATCGCTTACAGAGGTACTGCGGCCCTAGTTAGAAGAGACATCGTACACGAAGAAGTTGAGACGGACCAAAACTTCACATCTACGAGGACAATGGGGATAAGGATAAAGGTCGGGGCTAAGGAAATACGTATATACGCCACCTACAGGCCTCCCAGTACCTCGTTTACCGGATCCAGCACCGGCCGCGCCTCTCTATGGACGGATTGTATATAACACGCTAAACATTCCGCACACGACTTATCATTTAAATCTTGACCGATTTTTGAGACTCGAATTTTGTTATGTCTAGACTGCTTACATCTTACGTAATTCCTCTCTGTTTTAGTATAATTAGTCTCTCCTGCTATGCTTTATATTTGACTTATATTTTACCTGAAATCGATAGCGAGACAACGCCTCGTAATTGCATTGCGCATCCGTCATTTTAAGCAATTTATTACACCTCCACTTTCGCTATATATCTTGTATTAGATCGAATGTAAACAAATAACTATATACCTCATTTACAACCCTGTATAGGTTGCGACAAGGCTCCTTCCGGGGTTTTTTTGCTCAATTTAATTTATTTTCTATTTTTTATGTCATACAAATAACAATCAATTTGTTGAAAGCTATAGTACAACATATGAAAATTGTCTATAGAATATCCATCTACGTATATTACAAGATATATCAATCTCGTCACGAGAATAGATCTAGGCGTTGCGCCTGCGGCTCCCTGGCAGTGTTCATCGTTAAGAGTGATTTAGACGATACAATTTTCTTGTACATTCAAGTGCAATTATTGAATGCAATAAATTAAGTGCGTTAATTGCCCTTCAAGAATTGTACGCAACTGTTTACACGTGGATACAAGTAAAAAAATTGAACGCAATTATGGAATGCAAGTCTTGACAAAAAATAGTTGCAAATGTCTTCTGTTTAGACCAATACAATAATGTTTAGGAGATTATTGCTTTCATGTTTTGACTTGTCTTAATAGAGAGTTGTATGTGCGTGTACCATTTATTGGCGGGTTGCTTCAAGTATTGCACGTATTTGCGTTGTCAAATTTTTCATTCAAGTGTTGGAAGGTTTTGTAAAGTCTGTTTATTAAAAAATATGAGTCAAAAAGTGTTAAAATTTGGTTCTGCTGACTTAATAAAGTTTATTGAGATTTATCGCAGTCATGAGTGTTTGTGGGACACTGAAAATGTGAATTACAAGAATCGTGATGCACGTAGTGCTGCACTTGTAGCATTTTCACAAGAATTTGGAGTTGATGGTTTGGGACCTAAGGAAATTACAAACAAAATAAAAAACTTAAGAACGCAGTATCATGCGGAAAGGAAAAAGATAAAAGATTCAATGAGCACTGGTTCCGGCACTGCTGATATTTACAAGTCCAAACTCTCTTGGTATAATTTAATGGATTCTTTTTTAAGGAAAACTTCTGAACACAGAGAAACAACATCAAATATGGTAAGTATGTATTTATGTAAATTTTGCATAATATTATAAATGTGAAACTTTTTTTCATTAAAAAATGGCACTGTCTTGCCAAGGTACAGCACCATCATTGTTAAAGTAATGACAATAATTATCACGGATTCTTATAGCTTCCCTTGTACTATTCCTGTTGTTCTGTGATGTTATATTTTCAAAAGCTCCGCCTGAAGCATTTGTTCTCCAAGGACCAAGACGAAGACCACTTCTTTGACATTCTTCGTCTATAAAACCTGGTGGGGTGTAAGACGCAGGTGAAGTTTTCCTAAGCCAGTTGTGTAAAGCACATGATGTTTTCACTATGACATCTACCTTGTCTATACTTGTAGTGATTGGCTTTTCGAAAATTCGAAATCGGGATGTTAAAACTCCGAAAGCATTTTCAACGATTCTCCTACATCTACACAATCTGTAGTTATAGATTTTTTGTTCTCTACTTAAATCGTTACGGCGAGGATATGGTTTCATCAAATAAGGTTTTAAAGGAAACGCTTCATCTCCGACAAGTACTGCATTACTTGGCAAATTTATGGTATTCTCTTCAATAGCCTTCTTTAAAGTACAATTATTAAATATTCCACCATCAGAGTTTCTACCTTTTGCTCCCACGTCAATGTATGTGAAACAATAGTCGTGATCAACACAAGCTAGTAACACAATACTATATGTACTTTTATAATTAAAAAAGTCTGATTCTGTGCCAGGGGGATATTTTACGTTTATATGTTTTCCATCAATGGCACCAAAGCAGTTGGGAAAATTCCATCTTATAAAAAAGCCCCTTATTATTTGATTCCATTCCTCTTCAGATCTTGGCACCTGTAAAATAATGAAATAAATGTATGTTTTTAGAATGATACGTCCCTGGCATCACAAGAAATAGTTTTTGAATATTTTGAAAATGAAAATACGGAAAATATTAAAATGTTATAAATTCAAATATACAAGTCGTCGATGATGTGCTTCCATTTCCAATGCCTAAAAAAACAATTAAAAAAGCAGGTTACATAGAATCGGCCTTAGATAAACTGGACAATATTGAAAAAAGAGCAAGACTCGAAAAAAAAGACGATGATTTGGACAATTTCGGAAAATATGTTGCGTCTTCATTGCGAATTTTGAATACCGAAAATAGCATACATGCTCAGGACGAAATACAAGCAATATTATCAAAATATAAACTGCAAGATCTTCGAGAAAAAGAACGACAAAACTCTACTCCAATGCCAGAATCCCCGTATTCGAAACAAGGCAGCGAAGACACATGGTTGAACATGTAATTTTTTTTCTATTTTAATTAAATATCTGATTCCGTGTTAAATGTATGTGCCGCGTAGTGGCGGTCAAGAATATCCACTACCCCATATCCTCCCGTGGGTGTCGTAAAAGGTGACAAAGGGAAACAGGCAGGATATGGGCAGCAGCATCTTCCTGATAATAGCCAAAATTACAATAAAAAAACTGCGGTTGCCAACCCGCTCGCCAAGCGTGGCAACTATGGCAAATACCCCCCTATGAACGTAACAAAGAGACGGCCCCCAGTCTCCGGCGGCCCCGCTATTCCTGGCTACGGTGGCGACCATGGTAACGGCGGGGCAGGGGGTGCTAAGAATCTCCGGTGGAGGTTCGGTTGCCACCTTAGACGACTCGACCTGGCAACGTACAACGCACGCACCCTGAGGACTGACGAGAAGATCGTGGAGCTGGAAGAAGAGATAGACAAGTTGCGCTGGCATATTATAGGATTATCCGAAGTCCGAAGAGAGGGGGAGGACACGGTAATCCTCGAATCCGGCAACTTGCTCTATCACCGGGAGGGCGACCATCTGTCCCAAGGAGGTGTCGGATTTATCGTCCACAAGTCTCTCGTCAACAACGTTGTAAAGATCGGGAGTGTGTCGACGAGGGTTGCGTACCTTATACTCAGAATCACCAAACGGTATTCGCTGAAGGTCATACAGGTTTACGCACCAACCTCGGCACACCCCGATGGGGAGGTGGAGGAAATGTATGAGGATATCTCCAGAGCCATGCATTCCTCCAAAACCCAATATACGGTGTTGATGGGAGACTTCAATGCAAAACTAGGCACAAGAGAGAACGGTGAGCTGAAAGTAGGGAAATTTGGAATAGGGCATCGGAACCCAAGGGGCCAGCAGCTGGCCGACTTCATGGAGAAAAAGGGACTCTTTATGATGAACTCTTTCTTCCAGAAGCGGCCCCACAGGAAGTGGACCTGGTCGAGCCCCGACGGTTCGACAAAAATGAGATTGACTTCATTATGACGACCAGACGACAACTGTTCAGTGATGTCTCCGTGATCGCGAGGGTGAAAACTGGTAGCGATCACCGAATGGTTAGAGGCACACTGAACCTAAACGTTAAGTTGGAGAGGTCTCGTCTAATGAAGTCAACGCTCCGTCCCCCTCGTGCTCTGTTCCAAAGTCCCGAAACCTTTCAGCTCGAGTTACAAAACCGTTTTCAGTGCCTAGAAGACTGCAATGAAGTGGACGATATGAATGACAAGCTCGTGGAAACTGTCCATGCGGTCGGAGGTAAGTTTTGCAAGACCCGCCGCAGAAGAACACAAAAACTCTCCGATCACACTCTTAATCTCATGGCTGTTAGACGGGAGATGAAGCTACATTCTTCAACAGACTTGACAGCATACAGGCATCTGAACAGACAGATCTCCAAATGCATGCGGCGGGACTTACGCAACTTCAATACAGCTCGTATTGAAGAAGCGATCGAGCGGAACCAAGGCTCCAAAGTCTTTGTCAGAGATCTGTCTGCCAGAAAGAGCCAACTGTCAAAGCTGAAGACAGAATGTGGCAGCATCGTTTCCGGGACACCTGAGATTTTGAGTGAGATTGAGAGGTTCTATGGGCAGCTGTACACGTCATCGTTGGAGCCACACGCAAGTGTGAGTAACGATCCAAGAGCGAGTCTCATCCGACACTATTCTGAAGATATCCCGGACGTCAGTCTGAGCGAGATTAGAATGGCTCTCCAGCACCTTAAAAACGGTAAGGCCCCAGGCGAGGATGAAATTACAGCGGAGCTTCTGAAAGCGGGTGGATGACCGGTACTTGAAGTCCTTCAGAAGCTCTTTAATTCCGTCCTCCATGGTGGCATTACACCGGAGGCGTGGAGCAGAAGTGCGGTGGTCTTGTTCTTCAAGAAAGGTGACAACGCTCTCTTGAAGAACTATAGACTTTCCCTACTGAGCCGCGTCTACGTGCTGTTTTCGAGAGTCATTACGAATCGTCTCGCGCGCAGACTTGACGACTTCCAGCCTCCCGAACAAGCCGGTTTCCGAAAGGGCTTTAGCACCATAGACCACATACATACCCTTCGGCAAATTGTACAGAAGTCCGAAGAGTACAATTTGCCACTATGTCTGGCGTATGTGGACTATGAGAAAGCCTTTGATTTCGTCGAAATTTGGGCGGTGCTGCAGTCCCTTCAGCGGTGCCAAGTTGACTGTCGGTATATCGAAGTGTTGAAGTGCTTGTACAGTAGGGCTACGATGGCTATCCGAGTACAGAATCAGAATACGAAACCTATCCAATTGCAGAGAGGTGTAAGACAGGGTGACGTCATATCCCCGAAACTCTTCACCGCTGCATTGGAAGACGTTTTCAAGCTTCTGGACTGGAAAGGATACGGTATCAACATCAATGGCGAGTACATCACTCACCTTCGATTTGCCGACGATATAGTCCTTATGGCAGAATCGCTGGAGGACCTAAGCACTATGCTCAATGACCTCGATAGTGTTTCCCAACGGATAGGTCTTAAAATGAACATGGACAAAACAAAAATTATGTTTAACGTCCATGTCATACCTATGCCGGTAGTTGTTGGGAGCACTAAGCTCGAAGTTGTTGACGAGTATGTTTACCTGGGACAAATAGTCCGACTAGGTAAGTCCAACTTCGACCGAGAGGTCAATATAAAAAATAATACGGATAAAAATCGGCTGGGCAGCGTTCGGGAAACTACGACACATCTTCTCGTCAGACATACCTCAAAACCTGAAAACGAAATTGTACAACCAGTGCGTGTTGCCAGTGATGACTTACGGAACTGAGACGTGGTCCTTCAATGCTGGCCGTATGAGGAAGCTCAAGGTCGCTCAGCGAGCTATGGAGAGGGCTATGCTCGGAGTTTCTCTGCGTGATAAACTTAGGAATGAGTATATCCGCAGTAGAACCAGAGTAACCGACATATCCCAACGGATTAGTAAGCTGAAGTGGCAGTGGGCCGGCCATATAGCTCGAAGAACCGACAACCGATGGGGAAGAAAGGTTCTCGAGTGGCAGCCTCGTACCGGTAGGCGAAGTATAGGGCGTCCCCTCACGAGATGGAGTGACGACCTGGTCAGACATGCAGGAAGTCGATGGATGCAGGTGGCTCAGGGCCGTGCTTTGTGGCATTCTTTGGGGGAGGCCTATGTTCAGCAGTGGACTTGTGAAGGGCTGTAATGATGATGATGATGATCTGATTCCGTAGATTATATTTTGATAATAAATAAATATTGCTTATTTTTCGTTCTGAGCATAAATAGTAATAAACAATTTCTAATTATTTTGCTGAAAATATATGATTCTATTATAAAAAATGTTTTATTTCGAACTCACCTTTATAAAATCTTCTAATACAGAGTAAATAGCTTCAAGAACTTCGACCAAGAATGTACTTATAGTACACCTAGGTACTCTAAATAATTGTGACAGTGTACCAAACGAATCTCCAGTTGCCAAATATTTTAATGCTATTTCTAGTTTTGTTCGAGCAGGAATATCATTACGCATTGTTGTATTTTGCCTTTGTATAGAAGAACCAATTTTATCTAATAAATAATAAAACTGGGTTCTGTTGACACGAAACATGTTCTTAAAGTCATCTTCATTTTCTATTTGTAATTCTACACAAAGATTGTTAGACGCTCCAAGAACTCCTCTTCTTTCTATCCATTTTTTGATCCAACACCTCTTTTTACGACGATTTCTCAATATTTCTTGTCTCAGAAGAGCAGCAACGATTAACACACCTTCACTTACTGCACTCATGTTGGCAAATAAAGAGAAAACTAATTGAATGCAAGAATCGCCTAAGAAATTTTTGTATGTGCTGTTTACACCAAGAAAATTTTGGCAAGCAAAACTTGCGCAAAAGATCAAAATGTTACGTACTGTTTAGACCATGTAGGTAATTTATTGCTTCAATTTTATTGTATGCAACAGGCAAGAAACCTTAAAGGCTCATTTACATGATGTACGCTGAGATACACCAGGACATGTTGTATGTCAATATTTACTAACGGGCCATTACACAACTTTACCTACACGTCACGTGCTAAAAATGTAAACACTAAATCTAAAGTACGGTCGTTAATAATACGGATATTATTTCCCTAGCGGAATCCACAGGTACTGAAGGCACATTAAAGTCACTAAGCACATAACAATATTGTAATTAACATAAATATTTTATAATATGAAAAATAAGTAAATTTATTGACATAACATAATATACAATATTTTATTATAATACAATATTTATATAAGCACTTTAATGATAGTTAGTATGGTCAATTTGGTTACCTTTGTTGTTATTTTATTTATAGGTTTATGTTATATATCTATTTGTATTTATAATATGTATATATTTATGTACCTATATATTTGTATGTAAATATAATATATTGTCTGTATTATATTTTATAGTATATAAGTTTATTGTATTTATATATATAATATTAGTTTATTTTTAAGTTTATCAGTAGTTTTTTTTTCCTTGATTTACTCTATTGTTCATTTTATTTTGTCACCTATCACCTAATTTCCACACGTCCCGGGTTGACTGGGAAAGAATGCCTTAAGGCATTAAGTCTGCCCTTTGCAATCCTTTAATTAAGGTGCAATAAAGTGTAAATAAATAAATAAAATAAATAAATTGTTACGGCCTACGGTTGCTCCCTTAAAGGATCCAATCCCCTGGGGCCCATCAGCAGAAGACTTCCCGAGCAAACGTAGGTCGGGCCTCCTAAGGCCACGTGGAATCTCTCTAATTACACTAAAATATATGGGGGAGCGTTATACTACGGCCAGTCGACCGGAAGGAATTTGGCGGAGTTCACTTACCTCTATCCAAGGCGACTGGTCCCTCCGGAGTCGGTCAGGTCGCATGTGGTTGTGTAGTGCAAGGGAAAGAATGGTGATGTGGTGTGTATCTGGGTGTGACTGATGGTGATTGAACCTAGACCTTAGCCGTCGGCAGCAGCCCGAGCGTCGACACCGCTCCAACTTGAGGGGGCCTTTCGAGGTTATCCACAGTCACTTTCTTGGTTCACCACGATGACAGTCACTTAACTCTATCGTACGATTAACTAGCTTACAGAAGCCACTAACTATCGCGGGGTATAAGGTTACCGCACAAAACACGCCCGGAGTTTCTAGGTCAAAGGTCACTACCGTTTCGCGTGGCAACAGTTCTAAATACCGAGGCCGCACTAGCTTATATTGCCGAATGCACTTATACAGATTCTGAGTCGGACCCAATAAGTCCCGGGAAAGGCTATCCAAACAGGGAATGCGCGTTATAATTCCTAGACAGGATATTTACTAGACGCCCTAACTATTCCGCGGTTCCCGCACAAATTAAAGGCGTGCAAACATTAGCACATCTGGCAGATGACTCACTCGCTTGCGACCCGCGCGCCACTGTGACGCTCGGAAGAACTTCAGACCGGAATCGCGCCGAGCCGAGTGACATCTGGTGTCGATTCCGACAACAGAGTTTTGCGCGAACAAACCCCCGTCCCGGACATAAGGATTTAGGTCCGCGAGCAAACCGGTCAGCGGGACAAGGTCGAGACTGCAAGTTGCAAGACCGAATCTACAACCAAACTAGGCCACCTTAGGCAATCTATTAGGTCTTGCAACCCTAATCAACGCCTCAAAGATATCCCTAATGTGGCAAGCCGGAGGGTCAGCCTCCACTGGATGCCCCTCCTGGGCATCGCAGCACTTTAATAAGTCCTGTACTGGACAGAAGTCCGACGACCTCTTTCAAACACCATCTGTGCCCCTATGATTAGTTCCGCAATCCGACCGGATCAGCTCTGCAAACAGTGACGCGACACGAAGCGGCCTCGAGCGGCCTCCTAAGCTTCAGTGCAGAGAGCACCCACAAATTCCACATGAACGTCGTCTGTGGAGAGCCGAACGAAACGCACAGATAGTCCCTAGTATGAATTTTCAACAAGTAGGCCTAGCCAGGCCACCCACCATATTATCATTTACTAAAATAGTGCGGCAGCTGATTTCAATCTGATAATCTCCAAAACTAGCTAGCCTGTTAGACAAGTAGTCCTATGCTCATATTTCAACAAATTTTTCAAAAGCATCAATGTTCAACTACAGAATTAATTCAACCAAATTAATCACCGATGCGCATAGGTCAACTTGCAAATTAAACAAAACAATAACGTAAGGGACAGCCCTACTTCTTAGAAAACAAAAATGATTAAACACTATCCTAAACATAAACATAATTTTTCAAATAGTGCGCCATTCCATTTCAGATGAATTCAAATTTTCCTTTCAGCAAACAAACGCAACAATCAAATACAGTGATTAAATATATGTACAAAACACATGCAGTAGCATTTAAAGGAGTAGATTAAATTCAATTCTTTTAATTTAAACCGCTACAAATAGGAGAATTTCGCGGAAAGCCCAAAGCAATTTTTAATTTTAATTCAAGTATTTTTTTTTTTGACTAAGTGCTCGACCAAACCAAATCTAATACCCCTTGACAGCGTGATTCAACGCTACAGGGGGACCCTAATCTTCCCACCACCAAGGGGAGGCCACATGGCGTGAACCCGAGATAAATAGAGCACAACCTTTAACAGTTGCCACTCGGGTTGTACGCCTTCACTGAGGCCGTCGGCAACAGAACATTTTGACAAGTGGACCGTTGACGGCTTAAGGCTCAGTGGAGGCGGCCGTGGTGGGAACTAAGGCAGCAGCTAGACAGGGCCGCCTCCATCAAATGGGGAACAGTGGTACACCAGTCGCGGCCACTCAGCTAACGGAAGTGAGAAGGGTCCAGCGGACCGATGAGTGGCCGTGAAGTTCCTCTCCACACGCTGAGGGGGGGTGATGACACCCCCGCCCCTGGGGGAATTACCCCCCGACTGGTCGGGGGAGGGACTCCTTTCAAACTTAGGGGCCTGGTGGCTGGACGGCGGGCGCCGACAGTCACCCTGCAGAGGGCGTGGCTGAGCGCCCCCGCCCGTGGGGGTCGAGGGCCTGGCAGAGCCCCGAGAGGAGATGCCGTTCGCACCCAGGCACAAAACGGCATGGTGATTGCCCTGGCAATGCAGACAGGGCCGTCGATGCGGACAGTCTCGCTGGAGGTGCCCTCCCAGACATGACCAGCACCAGCGGCGCTCCTTGGCGATAGTTCGCCTCGCTGGAACCGGCTTACCTAATAATTTCGGGCACGACGTTACCCGGTGATCAGATGCTCGACAATAGGAGCAGGGGGGGGTTGACGACGACTTGCCTGGCGGGTTCAGCCTCTCACTGGGCACGTCTCGCAAGTCGTCAACGGTGCCCGCCGCGTTCTCGATCTGCCGGCACTGCTCCTCCAAAAACCGCAGCAGGTCATAGAAGGGCGGAATATAGGAGGCCTCGTCCCCGCCGTACCTCTCCTCAAAATGGATTCGCAGGTCGAGAGGTAGACGGGACAGCACGATGCGGAGCAACAAAAAAGCCCATTCGCCCACTGGTAAACCCAGCCGCCTCAAAGTATTACAGGCCACCAAGACTGGATCCAACAGGTCCGGACGCAGTCTGGCCCGGTCACTAAGCAGCGGGAGGCTTAGAAGCTGCTTAACATGCTCGTCTGCAATTCGCCGGACGTTGGCGTATCTTCTGGCTAGGAGGTCCCGAGCAGTCTGGTAGGCGTCGTCCGACAATTTCAAGTGGCCGACGACGCCCAGGGCCTCCCCCTCCAGTGAGGCCAGGAGGTACGCCATCTTTTGGCTCGGGGTCAAGTCACTCCGGGCGTCCACTAGGCTGTCGAAAAGACCAACGAAGGTCAGCCATTCGGAAAGGACCCCGGAGAACTTTGGCAGGTCCAGAGTTGGGAGTCGTCCCAACAGCTCCGGCTGAAGCTGCTTCAGAGAGGACTCGGACAGGTTACTCATCCGAGCTTCACGCGCCTCCTCGGCATACCTGCCTTCAGCCTCGATCAACTCGTCCATGAGCCACAAGAACTGCTCATAGTCCGCGAAGCAGGAGTCCAGGACTCCCTTCTCCACATCCGAATCCTCGAGCTCAGCGTAAGCCTCCTCCACTGCGGCCCTTCGAGCATCCACCTGCTCGAACCGCTTCATCAAGTTATGGACCCTATCCGGTCGACCTATCAAAGCATGGGCGCTTGTGGCCCAGCGTAGCTCAGTCCGCAAACAACGGATCAGTAGCTTGGGCGATGTCATCACTATTAAAGACAAATTACGACGCGGCTTGAGCACAGTTTACAAAGATAACAAATAAAAAATACAACAAAAAATTAACAGTTAATAAATGCAGTTCCTATCAAATCGCGTTGAATAGAAATTACACAAATACGAACTACTTGCTACGTATCAACCAAATACAAATTAGCACAAAAAAGACACAAATCAAATTAACAAATAACAAATACTAGTGCGATCGAATCAAGTTAAATTCAAATTGCGCAAATACAAATTACTACTATTTAGTTCAAATACAACTTACAGTATAAACGAAGATACACATCACGGTCGATCAACAAAAAATGCCTAGCTCGGAAATCGAACCTTCGATAAGTAATCCACTACAACTCTCCGACAACGATAATTAACCGATTACGTAAAAATAACCATCTACCTACATGACGTATATCTCTAGAAAATCTCCCGCTTGCACAACCTAGGGCGCGGCTTTTCAAATTACCCTCTAACCAAAAAAAAGGCAAGCAACAAAGCAACAAAGGAAAATAATTCTATTATTACGTACAAAAAAAATATTTT